GTATTAGCATGGCATAGACAAGATTGCAGAAATAATAAATTAAATCTACAATGGTCATATACCAAAAGTAAGTCTCACAAGCCAGCTAAAAACGAATGTGAACTCCGTCGGACAATCAGCCGAATGAGACATATAACGAAACTTATCTTCCGCGTCAGAATCAGACCGGAAATAGGACATTGTCAAAGACACTGGATCAAGGAACGCAATATTTATGCTTAGAATGGTATCGGAAAGGACAATACAAATGTAAAGACAAATGAAATTTCTACAGCACACGATGAGGAAAGAGGGCTTGGAAAATCTGACACTTACAGAACGCTAGAGGGTCGGAGAAAAACAATGCGTAACATACTTAGTGACCTTGAGTAAATAGATGGCGGGACAAGGTTTAGGAGAAATAACAGAAAGACAAGACTTAGTTCGAGCTACAAAATACAGAAAGTTGTGGAGAGCCATGATCGCCTACGTGCACGTGGTGGGCACGACACATAACGAAGAAGCACTTGCTGCTTGACCAGTGAATGATAATGTTTTTCATGCTAGCGTTATCATTATAGACATTTTTTAACAGCAAGATTCACGCTGTAAAAGGCCCGGGGCCACTCAAGGTAGAGGGTTAAAAAGTAAGAGATAGTTTATGCGGATAGGAAGGGAAGATAACGGTTAACCCTAGACTTGAACAGTTTGTAGTGATCGGGGAAATATCCTGTTGGGAGTTAGTTCCACAGGGCAGTGGTTCGCGAGAAAAAGCTGTTCGAGTGGAACTTACTTCTCACCGATGGAATATGGGGGGAATGTGGGTGATTTGATACGATGTGAGTGGCATGGCGGATCCTAGCCGTGAAGGTGAGAACTAGCAGACAGTTAAGAAACTGAACTGACACATTTTAATCACTTTCCCAAATACAGCATGAACCACAAACCGAGACTCTTGTTATGGATGCAAAGAATAAATCTAAGCTTCGTTCTGCTCAGACTTGCAGATACACGCAGTCTGTAAGAATTGCAAATTTGCCGTTTCTTGACACTGCAAGACATGATTTAATGTGTTGAGTGGCGTGAGGAATCCACGACAAGTTGGATCAAACGGACTGAGCTCCAATGAGGGGGGGGTGAGGTTATTATTATGGGAACGTTTCAATCAATTAACTTCACTTTATTATTTTGGTTAATTAATTAATGAGGTATATTAACCTGAAATCAGCCGGTGTTATCTGTCTGGAGTAGCACAGAAATTTAACTTTTTACAAACTTGAATATATCTTCGATTGATGCCCGTGTGTGTGTGTGTGTGTGTGTGTGTGTGTGTGTGTGTGTGTGTGCTTTTATATATATGTTTTTATTTCAAAGTTGCCATTCTCCTAGACTGGTTATCCACCACAGCTAGCGAGCATAGTCTGCTCTACTATTTTACCTGCTGTTGTTGTTGGGGGTGGGAGGGATGAATTTATTATTATTTTTTCGTCTACCGGCTTGAATATTCCAGCAATTACGTTTAAAAAGTCATAGTTTCCATACTGAAGTAGATTGAAAAACAAACAAAAGCCTAAACTAAAAAAAATTTTCATTCCTCTCTCGTCAGAACTCTGAAAAATATTAAAAAAGTGAATAAAATAGGAACACTTGGATGTTTATATATATATATATATATATATATATATATATATATATATATATATATATAGTCTTAAGATGTGCTATATTTATGGGATAAAGTGCTCAATATCAGAGAAAGAGCGTGTGTAAATATAAAAGTGAACATAGAAGCCAACACTTGGCCTGACGATTGCATCTAGCATGAAACAGACTGTCGCCTCTATTTCGGAAAACCTTCGGTGTCTTGATTTGCAAATAATCAAACCAATACCAAAGGGGAAAAAGGTATAAAAAAAGAAAGAACCAAGAACATGGACGTTAGCCGAAAATAATCGTACAGGAAGCAAGCCCAAAGCCCAAAGAAAAAAAAACCGATACGAGTAAGCAAAAATAACTAAATAAAGTGCTCAATACAGTAAGCAGAGTAGACCTAGTTAAACCTTTTTTACCTCTTAGCCAGCCTTCCTTGACGATCCGCAAAATTGAAACCGTGGTAGGTTGTCTGGCTCTCTAGGTTTAACTATATATATATATATATATATATATATATATATATATATATATATATATATATAAATTAATTGATTTAAAATATATTTTTTTCATACACATTTCTAACCATGTTTCAAAAATGGAAGAGCTTCCATTTCCGAAACATGGTTAGAACTGTGTAGCGAAAACTATTTTAAATCAATCTATTTATAATATTAATTCTCTGTAAATTTATATTGAGCACTATTTTGTAAGAATAAAAAAATCTATAAGAACACCGGATTATATATCTTACTGTTCTTTCTTTTTATTTACACACACACACACACACACACACACACACACACACACACACACACACACACACACACACACACACACACACACGCACGCACGCACGCACGCAGAGATATGGCTAATATGTATATTTGTTAATATATATTAATTGCTTTGTTGTATTGCATGGCGGTGGCTCAGTAATGGTTTGGGCGGATTTTTGCCTTGTATTCTTCTGGTCCTATCATCACTCTTAATAGTAGAATTACTGCAGGTAAATATCTCGACATTCTCAATGACAATGTCCTTACAATGACTACCATATTGTTGCCAGAAAGTGCCATATTCCAGGATGATAAAACATCCATACACACTGCAAAAAAGTGATTTGAGGAGCATCATAACGTAATTAAACATGGCTGGCACAATCACATAATCTCAACATAATTGAACCATTATGGGGACATCTAGAAGAGAGGAACACATTTCTTCCCCCATCGTACCCTGAATATGTTACAGTTTTTTTGTGTATATGACATGTAACTAGAAGATTTATTCTGTAGAATTACAGAATTGTGGCACAAGGCCGAAAAAGGGGAGGGGTAAAGGCTGGTCAACACTAACTATCTTATACCTTGCTAATCTGATTCACGACCCATTCATACATTACAATTTGCTCATACACCACAAGAACTCATCCATCACCGTTCAATCCTCCATCCACCATAATACCACATCCTCTCCATGGGAACCTACCAAAACGCGCCCCAATCCATAAAAATTTGATGATGAATAAATGATATACATAAAAATCTAATAATGATAGTATGAAAGGGGAGGGAGATGAACTCAAATATGACATGTAACTAGTGAGTTAGTTCAAATGACTTAACTCCCTTTATAGTCTACCAATAGAAGGTTAACCAATCAGCAACCGCAGAACATTGTATCCGTTGTGTATAAAGGCGGCCATTTTTTGTTTACCCTACCCAAATGACCAGTGCCAACTTGTCCGGCGAAGGTGACAGAAGGAAGAACTACGCTTTCATACTTTGCTCCGAAATATTCACTGCTAACCTCTGGATTCTATACTCGAAACGACCGTCAAAATGTCTAACAGAAGAAACTTTCCAAGATTTTGATTGAAGAACGAGATAAAATTCCAATGGAAACAATTCAAAACATTTGATTCCATTCCATGTACAATCAAAACAGTTTTAGAAGATAATGAAAGTCCAAAACCTTATTAGTCAATAATTAAATGTTTAAGCCAGAAGTTCACATTATTTTCTGCCCCTTATATATATATATATATATATATATATATATATATATATATATATAATTAAGAGATCAGCGGATTCCGCTACATTGGTTTTAGTCTTTCGGTATCTTCAGGCGAATTCAGTCAATTGATTTCTTAACGCTTTATTTTATTTTACTTTTAATTTTATGAACCCTATATTATTTCAAAATAAGAAATAAGCGCATGACATGAGGTACGGTACAATGCGAGGAGGAAAGAAAGTGTACTGGAAAGGTATCAGTGGTGGGGGAGGTTAAATGAAATATACATACTTTCTTTTCATCTCACTTCATATGAACTCAATAGGAACTTTTTTTTGTATGTATACAACGGGTGATAATTTTCTTTAATTTCCCCGCATGTTTGGCTACTACATATATATATATATATATATATATATATATATATATATATATATATATATTATATTGAAATGGACAAAGTCCGACAATTATTTTAAGCCATTTTTTGATGTTTATACGTTCTTTTATAGATACAGTGTAACCCGGATATAAGAGAGTTGTCGGGACCGGAGAAGAAGTCTCTTATATCCGGGTTTGGTCTATTTTGTTTAGGTAAGTATGGGCTCTAATTTGGAACCAGAGAAAATCTCTCTTATATCCGGGTTTCTCTTATATCCGGGTTACACTGTACAAATATCTAAGTAAATGCTCTGCTTATAATAAACAGTAGTAACGACATTTACCGGCTTGAATGTCCGAGAAATTTTCATAGAAAATTCGGGCCGAAAAATGTTCATGGCCAGTACATATACCGCCATTAGTTTTTAATTTAATTTTTTTCTGAGAAAAGTACGTTACCTCTGTTCGCAAATTATCATTTTCAAATACATTGATTGATGTCTGGACATGACTCAAGTCTCAATTGAATCATTATTCCATGCTTGACGAATCCAGGAGATTAAAGCAACCCCACTCGGCTTTGTCATCTTCTGAATAGATATGCTCTCATTCTGAGAGTATTATTAAACAAAATGGGAGATTTGTTTAAAACTAGCGTCTAGTATTTGCGTTCCCATTTAATTCACGTGAAGCGAGAATGTAATGAATGAAGATCACAAGAACACCAAAGAAATATTGAATACGTCTTTGGATCTCTAAAATAATGATTGACAAGCAAACACATGTATTATATCGATTTATTTAAGTTTGTACATGTCTGTTTGTTTTTGTTCTTCTCTGTTTTTTTTTTTTTTTTTGATAATTGTTTGTATTTTTTTTTGTTCATATGTGTTTTTTTTTAGGTTGATTTTGTCTGTCGCTTTCAAATTATTCTGCTGTTGTTCAGGTTTGCTTTTTTTTGTTTCATGTTTGTCTGCTTCAGTCTTTTTCTGTCTATTTCCTTCATCTATTCATGCTTGTTTTTTAATTGTTTCTGTCTGACTTTTGTTCGTTCATACTTGTATCTTTCTTTCAGTTTTTTCTCTCTCTTCCAGTTCACTTCTCTCTTCCTGTCCCTTTCCGTCCATTCATATCTGTCGTTTATTCTTCTGATCGGTCTAATTTTTTCGTTCATATTCGTCTCTTTCTTTCAGTTTTTTTCCTCTCTTTCAGTCTTTTTCTGTCTGTGTTTCAGTCTATTCATATCTGCATTTTTCTTCTTTGTCATTTTTGCTTCATATTTGTCTCTTTCTTTCAGTCTATTCTTGTCTGCTTGTCTATTTATGTTCATGTCAATCTACCACTATTTTTATTTCTTCCATTTGGACTATATCTATTCCCCTCTGTTCATGTTTTTTTTTTTTACATGCGAACTATTGTCCTCCTTTTTTAACCACCCAGGCAGACAGGTATACATGGGGACAAGTACCCATTATTATGTCCACACACACACACACACACACACACACACACACACACACACACACTGTTGTTCACGATGAAGGTCGTCTTTGAGTATAGAATCCAGAGGTTAGCAGTGAATATTTCGAAGACAGTAGGAAAGCGTTGTTCAGGTTAGCAGTGGATATTTTGGTAAAAGTAGCAGAGCGTAGTTATTCCTCCTGTTCCACTTCGCCTGACAAGTCAGCACTGGATATTCAGATAGAGTAAACAAAATGGCCGCCTTTATACACGACGGATTGAATATTCTACGTCTTCTGATTGATTAACCTTCTATTGGTACTGTGAATACAAGTGAAAAAAATAAAAGTATTATTAAATTTTAAAATCCCTTGCTGACTATTGGGAGACCGGTTACAAGGCGAACGCATCTCAGTTAGGGAGAAAATGAAATCTACAGGAGGAGTAGGCAACCCCTTTTACTACCCGATACAGGAGGAGTAGACAGCTCCTTTTATTACCCGCTACAGGAGGAGTAGGCAACTCTTTTTACTACCCGCTACAGGAGGAGTAGGCAGACCCTTTTACTACCCGCTACAGGAGGAGTAGGCAACCCCTTTTACTACTCGCTACAGGAGGAGTAGGCAGCTCTTTTTACTACCCGCTACAGGAGGAGTAGGCAACTCTTTTTACTACCCGCTACAGGAGGAGTCTTAGACCCTTTTACTACCCACTACAGGAGGTACTTTATTTACCATTACTACTCGCTACAGGAGGACTAGGCAGCTCTTTTTTTACCCGTATCAATTTAGTAGGCATCTCTTTTTACTACCCGCTACAGGAGGAGTAGAATTTACCCTTTTACTACCCGCTACAGGAAACGAGGCAACCCCTTTACTACTCGCTACAGGAGGAGTAGGCAGCTCTTTTTAAATACCCGCTACAGGAAGACAGGCAGACCCTTTTACTACCCGCTACAGGAAACGTAGGCAAAGAAATACTACATTACAGGAGGATATAGGCAGCTCTTTTTACTACCCGCTACAGGAGGAGTAGGCAGACCCTTTTACTACCCGCTACAGGAGGAGTAGGCAACCCCTTTTACTACCCGCTACAGCAGGAGTAGGCAACACCTTTTAACTACCCGCTACAGGAGGAGTAGGCAGCCCCTTTTACTACCCGCTACAGGAGTAGTAGGCAATCCGCAACTGATATGCCAAAATACCAAAAGATTTTGTTTTTTAAGTGTGAGTTGGAACAGATGTAAATAAAATTTCCGAACATTCCTTTTTTGGAAATTTTGTGTTTAATCATTTCTCCCCAAGCAAAGTAATAAACCCACTAACACACAGGGGGGGGGATACTGAATGTGAAAGAATATCAGGAAATACATTATTAAGGATTGAGAAAAAAATAAAAGAACAGGGATTAAAAAGACAGAAAATAACTATTGATATTACATTTAAATTTTTGAAGATCAAACTTGACTAGGAAGCAAGAGGCCAGATGAGAGTTCCACCATTGAGAAGTGCAAGAGAAGAAACTGTTCGCATAGAACTTACGGTTACATCTAACAATTTCAACTATAAATTGATGAGACCTACCCGCCAATCTAGTACTTCGCTTAAATTCATAGAATCTAGACACTATAGAGGAAAGTTCATCAGCGCAATTACCATGAGAGTATTCATAGAAAAGACTCAGGGAAGGTAAATAATGGCGGTGGGAATGTGACTGAAGTCGAGATGCCAGGAGAGGACCAATAAGATTGCAGATTCTTCTTTAGATTTCATCAAGGCTCTCTAAATCTATTGCAGGAGCAGTAGAACATATGCGGCAGCACTATTCTAAACGTGGATGAATGGTAGACTTGTAAGATAGAGTCTGGCAAGAAAAATTGTCTAGCCCGACAAAGGGAACCAATTTTCCTAGTAGAAGACCTAGCAGTCAATTCGATATAATCTTTCTACTTTATGTCAGTGGAAGACGTTCGTCCGACAAGGAACTTAGCACCAGTGATGCTGATGAAAAGCAGAAAGGGAACACTCACATGATTAACAGAGAGCAGTTATGATTTGGAGGAATTAAAATTAACATTCCACTCCTTGCCCCATTTAACAACAGACTCTGGGTCATTTTTGAGATCAGGACTTGTGGAACTCCCTTCTGGCTTCTTGCTTCCCAGTCAACTTTGATTTACAAAATTTTAACTACAATGTCAATCGTTATCTTGTGTCTTCTTAATTCTTGTTCTTTTATTGTCCTCTCTCCTTAATAATATTTTTTCATATTCTCTCACTTAGTAACCCATTGCGTCTTAGTGGCTTTATTGCCTGGTTTCGGGTGAAATTGTGTCCATGTTTGAAACAGGTTGAACCTAAATGAGGATTGAAATACCAATTATTGATGTTGATAAGAAAGCAGAAATCTATCTTAACCACAGGTTACGCCTAAGATTACTTTTTAATTATCTGTAATATTATGATATATATAACCTATAATATATATATATATATATATATATATATATATATATAACCTATAATATATATATATATATATATATATATATATATATATATATATATATATATATAATATATAATATATATATATATATATACATAGATATATATATATATATATATATATATATATAAAAAACCTATAATATATATATAACCTATAATATATATGTATAATCTATAATATATATATATATAACCTATAATAATAGATATATAACCTATAATATATATATATATATATAACCTATAATATATATATATATAACCTATAATATATATATATATATATATATATATATAAACATATATATATATATATATATATATATATAACCTATAATATATATAACCTATAATATATATGTATAACCTATAATATATATATATATATATATATAACCTATAATGCACACACACACACACACAATATATATATATATAATATCTGATAAGAATATGAGACTAAATTGTTCATGCATATAGTTTATTCATTTCTGAACTCTGTCAAATTAATATCAGATGAATCAAGGGCATGTGGTTTCAGGAATTTCTTCAAAAGTTTGATCTATTTCCTGCAACTATATGAGGGCTTCTGGCTTTTTTCATGTAGGTTAGACATTTATTTATTACAGAGTGATGCTGGTGTATGGACGTAAGAGGATGATGCATATTATGAAGATATATTGACTTGAAGGGGTTAACATAGTAGTGACCAAGAAGCATGGAACTTGTGGAACACTCTTCCGGATTCTTGCTTCCCAGTCAACATTGATCTTCAAAAATTTAAATGCAATGTCAATTGTTATCTTTTGTCTTAATTTCTTGTTAGTTTATTGTCCTCTCTCTTTAATAGTATATTTTTCTCATATTCTCTAACATTCAGTAACCTCTTGCGTCTTAGTGACTTTATTGCATTGCTTGGGGTGAATTGATTCATTAGTCATGAGTTTATCTGTTATATTTTGGAAAAAAAAACCCTCCAAAAGTAAGGAGAATAAATATTTTATTAAGGTTCATTCTTGTCGTTTGATTTCTTCCATTTCTCTTCTGGTGTTCCGATCGTGATGGAACACTATCAGTTGGTACGGTCAGGGGCTTGTGTTCCACGCGATTTAGGCTCAAGTGCAGTGTTCGTCATCCATTCCTTAGAGATTTGGTGTTTTCTTTTGTATAGCATCATCATGGCAGCTACTGTCTCAAGGGAAGGGTGCTAGAAGGATTATTTCCCCTTAGGTACAGAATCGAAGTCTTTAGTGAAATCTATAAAACGTAAGGCTGCCTGTAGATTATTTCCTCTGACGCCCTCAGCAATCCGCCGAACAGTCAGGATTTGTCCAACGATTGATCTATTTTTGTCGAAAATCATTTCGAATTATTCGGAGCACCTTCTCTACTTCCGGTTGTATTCTGTTGAGAAGCACTGAGTTGTAGCATTTTCCTAATCTGATTTCGATTCCTCTATAGTTTTATGCCGAGCCTAGTTCTCCTTTATTTGGGAAAGGAAGTGTGTTGCCTTCTGTCAATCTTTCTACGACTTCTCCATTAAATATGACGTTGCGGAGTTGACATAGAATATCATTGAAGTCCTGAGTTTTCCAAAACCCCGGAGAAATGTTATCAAGTACCGCTGCTTTCTTATATTTGATATTTTTTTCAGTTTCTGCATTTATAAAGTGTTGTAGAGTAGTTTTCACAGTGGAGGCTTGTATTTCACTAAGTCTGTCCTAAAAGAGTCCGACGTACAAAACGTTAGGAACTTGAAATAAGAGTTAATGACGCAGCAATCTACTTGTGGTGGTTGATACTTTAATGTCCGACATCGACTGACTCACTCAACACCACTGATCCCAACTGTCGACCGCTACTACTACTACTACTTATTATGTGTGGGAGAGTCTATTAATAATAGAATAGGTACGTCAGGTATAACATAAAGTTACCAGGTTTCATATCAAGAGGATGTTCAAAGACACATGTATCTAAAATGTCAGGTACATTTCCCAAGAGATTTTTAAAATGGTCTTGTCATTTATTCAGTCTATTGACCTTTGATTTGGATTTATTTGTTGATTTTCTGCTACTGATCTCACTTCAAGCAAGAGCAGATTGTTTGTTGGCAACAGAAGAGTTGATGAGCCGATTTTTTTTCCTGTGAACATTCGGCTTATTGATCTTCATAAGAGTTCTTGAATTTAGCAAGCACTTCCTTGAAGTCTTCGATAGATTTAAAGGATGGATTTGAATTTCTTATGGCCACTTTTTCTTTCACATTAGCCCTTTGGGATTCAATACTGTTTGATTCCCAAAGAATATGTTGACGATGTTTAGGTTTTAAAGGTATCTGCTGCGGCCTTTTCATGAGAATTAACAAAATTATTGCACGTTGTATTAAGAGATGATTTCTCAGCATCTGCTTGTAGTGTCTCAAACCTATTCCTGAACAATGGAATACTTGTCTTTGAGATGAACTGTTTGTCGTCAGAAGAGGCAAATCATACGGTGAGAAGGTAGACTGTTTTTTTCTTTTTGCTCTAACACTAAGTCGGATGGTGGATGAGACAATCCGATGGTCTGTAGATACTCCTTCAAACGTGCTGAAGGCTTGACGATTCATTGCACCATTCTTCCAGTTCTTATTTATCAGGATGTAATACAGTTGGAGTTTTGATACCAGTGTATATTCTGGATTAGATGGACACCTCGATGTGGTGTAATGATTAGCAAGCTGGTCTCGCTAAAACGATTGCAAACTGAATAGTGAGTTCGAACCTCACTGGCTACCCCATACTTTCGGCATTGTGCCACATCTAAGCTACGCTTAGAAAACCGGTATATTCTGGATTAGACATTCTCTCAGCGATATGATTTTATTCCTCAAAGTCGACAGAAATATTTAAGAAATTACACGCACCGTAAATAAAATTAAGCTTGATGCTGGTAAAAATGGCGTGATTATTTAAATCGGAACTTCGACCTCGGGAAAAAGTCACTTCCTAACATTTCTGTCTTGGATCAGTTTAATATCTATGTGCTCTGTTGAAAGCGTTACAAACGTAATATATAGAATGTTATCGCCATCAAATTTATTTAACTTTTAGAACGAGACAAGTCTACGAGAAGCAGAATTTATTATTCGTCTCTTTGATTCCCTCCTTATATGTCATTTAATGCTGAAATTTAATTTTCTTGGGAGCAATGATAATTTTTTACAAAAAATATATTGCTGCTATTTTTTTAACATAAAAATGTATTACTGATATTTTTGCTATGAAAAATATGTTTTTATAATTTCATAGCGTTTTGACCCCAGTTTGGGCATTAACTATTTGCCCATAGCTGGGACCCTAATAGCTGCTACCACCCCGAGTAAGGGTGGACCTAGGAACAACAGCAATCAAGAGATATTTCCACGCTTCTCACCCCCACACCATCATCAGAGGCTGTTACAATTTTTGGATACATTATGTAACTAGTGAGCTAGCCCAAATGACTTGACTCACTTTATAGTCCACCGAGAGAAGGGTTAACCAATCAGATGACGTAGAATATTCAATCCGTCATGTATAAAGGCGGCCATTTTGTTTACTCTATCCGAATG